TCAGTAGTGAGGGTGTGTGTGGGGGGGCAGGGTAAATGAAAGGGTAATGAAAATAAAGGGAACATTTAAAAAATAAATCTGTATTATTACATTATAGTAAATAATAAAAGAAGATTTTACAAAACAATTTTGTGATTAGTATTCATATACTAGAAATATATATTACATTTAGGCAATTTACAGCTCTATTTACTACATTATTCTCTGATTAAAATGGATAATAAACACTACCATGATTTCTGTAAGGAGCTGAGGTGGCATAGTCTGTAGAAAGTTGCACTGCTAATCAAACACATGTGCTAAATCTGGCAGTTCAAATCCACCAGCAGCTCCAGGAGACAGTGATGGACAGACCCTTCCTATTAAGATCTACTCCTTCAGAAAGCTCATGGGGTATTGCTATGGGTTGGAATCAACTTTCAGTGTCAGTAACTACGTGGTGGGTTCTCTATTATGTAGAATTCGAACAGGTTCACAGTGAGAAGGCATCTCTAGTTACTGTACTAGTTACTGTTAGTTAGACACCAACCCTAACGATGACACTTCCCTCATTGTGATTTCAGCAGCGCAGTTAGCTCAGCTGAGGACTCAGCACAAGGGCTGTGGCGGGAGCAACGTTGTTTCTATCCTGCAGCCAAACCACAGCGTTAAGAAGCTGGTCAGTGAAGAGAAATGTTGCTGGTGAACTTGAGAGTGAAGGAGTGGGTCACTGCCATCCTCACCGTTCTTTTGGACTGCAGGAAGTAACATATGGCTAGAGAAAGAGATGAATAAATATAACCTGATTATTTCACCTGAGTTGGATGCTGTTCTGGTCAGTGTGTGACCCAAACAGCTAAGGCCAGTCAAAGGGTAGAGACCAAAAAAATAAATGTTCTCGAGTTCTTGGCACCGTGTAAAGCACTTTACAACCATTGCTACTTAATCATCACCATAAATAACTTCATGAAATGGGCACTGTTTTTTCTCTCTCCTGATTTTAACTTGAGGAAACAGACTCGAGGAAGGATAATGCCTTTTCCGAGGTCACATAGCTGGGAAATCCAGAGTCAGGCTTTCTACCCGGACCTTCCCTCACCCTCATCCTTGGTGTGCAGAGCCACCTGACCAGACCCATCCCCAGAGCTTCTGACTCTGTTGATGTAGAGTGGGACCCAGAATTTGCATTTCTAGCCAGAGCTCCCAGGAGCTGGAGAGTCTACCAGCAGAGGAACCTCACCTGGAAAAGGACTCTTCTAGACCATGTTGCCTCCAACCATGAGTCTATGCATTTTTTTCTAAGCACCTACTGTGTGCCAGGGGAGCTGTGGTGGTGGAGTCTGTAGGGAGTTTCGTTGCTAACTCGCAGACAGTGCCTTCTGAGGGTTCAGCTTCACGAGCTGCTTGGAGGGAAGGAAGAGGGGCATTCTCCTCTGTGTGATTTACAGCCTTGGAAAACCCTCTGGAGGATCTGCTATAGGTCTGTTCTGACTCAATAAATTACTTTGGAGTTTTGGCGATGTGCCCAGGCTTGGGCCTAGTTCTGTGAAAGACACAGAGTGAGGAAATAGCAATGCCCTTGTCCCAAGAAGCTCAGTTGTCTTCACAGCATGACAGCACAGAAAACATTGATTTCACTCTGGCCCACAGCCCGCAGGCTGGGTGGCTTGGGTGTGCTCATGTTGAATTCCATAAGCTACAGAGGTGATGGTAAATGAACTGTCAAAGAATATAAAGGGTTGCAGTGCTATTGCTCCTGCCCTCACTTAGTGTAGAGCCCCAGGCCTTGAAAACAATTGCTGCTCGGTGAGGGCAGTTCACAGGAGAAAACACAAAATGCCCCGGATAGGGACAACTCCACCAATTGAACCCAGAAGCTTCTGAGGCTTCAAGGGAAATGCAAAGAACAGTCAGAAGCTATTAGTGACTCAGGCAGTTACCAAAGGTGTGCAGAAAGGGGTAGTCTGATCTTCTGAAGGCGTGGAGCTAGCCCGGAGCTGGTGGAACACAGTGCTGGCGCTAAGTCCAGGGTTTAAACATCATCTCCACCACGTTTACACTATATCATGCAGGATAAGTGATACGACTTCTCTGACCTGGTTTTCCCATTGCTGAAATGATGATCCTATAAAACTTATCTTGTGGGTTTGTTGGAAGAATAACATGACACGAGCATCAATTCCCAAGTGAGTTTGTACCATGGGACACTATTCTGGTTGATTTCAAGGAGTGTTTTAATTGTTGCCCCAAATATAATTAAAAAGTGTTCCACATTCGTTTTATCTATAACTCAGCTGACACTCTTCCCCGTTCTTTTTCCTTAGCTTCCTTGGTTCTCAGCTTGGTCACTCAAGCTCAAAGTCAGTGTTCTCCTCCCAACTGATGCCTCTAACTGCCAACCGTATTGTAATTATTGCTTTAGCTGCATATGTTGAGACGGCCACTTCCTGTTTCTGGACCTGCATTCATTCGCCTACTCATTCAGGGAAAAGCAAGTTTTTAAACAATGGTTTGCAAAGTTTTTAAAGCATTTCTCCTAGCAGATTCCCAGGTACTGCTGAAGCTGCTGGTCTATAGTCAGTTCACTCCCCTAATAGGAAATCCACTGGCTTGCACAGATTCTAGACCTGACTTAGGGCCCAGAAATCTGGTGTTCTAGCATCTTCCTGTGGCATTGATGGGCAGGGAGCTTTGGGACCCGCTGCTCAATCCTTACACGGCAGATGTTCAACAGATTGATGTGCAACGCACGGGCGTTCACATACTAACTGGTGCCACCTCACACCCATTCCTCTTTTCAACTCAGCGTGTGTGGAACTCTTTATTTATTAGCGTGTGTGTGTGTGTGATCAAATTGGATCTGATTGGTACAGGAGGAGATTGTCCCTTTTTCTCCAGCAGAGCATCTGATGGATTCGAATGGTGTACCCCTGGGATTGCAGTGCACTAGGCCACCAGAGCTCCCAAACTCAATTTTACAAAAACCAGTCATTGAAGAGGAGTCTATCATAGGTTCTTCCTCATAGCAGCTAATCGATTTGAGTTTTGAATAGCCCGGGGAGTGGCAAAGAGCAAACAAATCAGTCTTGAAGGAAGTTTGACTAGAGTGCTGCTTAGAGGGAAGAATGTGAAACTTTATCTAACATGGGCATATTTTCAAGAAGAACTTGTCCTTGGAGAGAGATAGTATACTAGGAAAGTCAGAGGGTCAGTGAAAGAGGGAAAGATTCTCCATAACATGGATTGATGCAGTGTTTACTACAATGGGCTTGAGCGAGACAGAGGTCGTGAGGTTGACCCAGGACAGGGCAACGTCCAGGTGTATTGTTCTTAGTTAGGGTCGCTAAGAGTCGTAGTTATCTCAATGGCATCTAACAACAACAACAAACGTGACCTAGATGGGTGGTTTCCAAACAAAGCCATTTTTTTTTCTTTCAAGTCAGGAAATTTTTTGTTAAATGAAATGTAAGAAGAAGACCAATATGTCAAACATAGAGAATGAAGCCACTATGGTGAAAGTATGTGTGTGTCTATGTGTAGTAAGTATAAATGTATGTGTGTGTGTGTTTATGTGTATGAACATCAGTCTGTGTAACTGTGTGTATTCATTTATAACTATCTTCATGTGTCTATGTGGATGGATTTGTATGTGGATGTATGTGTGTCTATATGAGTAAACATCTCTGTGTGTATGTGTGTGTCTGTCTGTCCATCTCTGTCTCTGTCTGTCTGTCTGTCTCTCTCTCTCTCTCTCTGTGTATGTGATGGAGAAGGTCAAGTAAGAAGTGAGGCCTGCACTACTGTCTCTTCTCACCTGAACTTCTGAAGAGGCTCCAGGGCAAATGACTGATTGGTGGCAGTAATCTGACTGTCATGTCAGTCTTTGTTTTTATTATTCATTCTGCTAAGATTAATATAAAAGACATAGTTTGAGACCATCAGCTGCTTCACCGGAGAAGGATGAACAGTCTCCTTCTATGGACTTAACTGCCTCTGAAAACCTGCCAGAGGGTCAGCTATGGGTCAGTTCTAACTCTCTAGTACACAACAACAAGATTAACCAAAAAAGATTGTAAGAAGTCTCAGGTTGATGTAGTCCCAAATGCTTAACCAGCAGTATAAGTTCCTACGCTCCCCAATTCTTCTTAAGGCTTTTTGGGTTCAGTGATTCACTAGAAGGTCCTCCAAAAACACAGATCCATCAGGGGAATAACAATGTGACTGTAGGTATGCAGACCAATTTTTTTCTTAAGCTGAATGCTTAGTTCACTGCACATGATTTCTCAGACAAGACAACTTCTCATCATCCAGCAAGCTTGGGTTATGTTAACACAGTCCTGCTGCTGCTCCTGTGTTGGTGTATTCACACACCCCACCGTTTGGAGAGCATTCTCTTATACTGCTCCTACAGCTGTTGATGATTTGTGGGACCATGTGTTTGCAGTTAAGGTAGCTGGAGATCATTCGTGCAGAGGGGGGTTTCTTGTTGTTGTTATGTGCCATTAAGTCACCATTGACTCATAGTGACCATATGTACCGTACCATTAAACTCTGCTCTATCCTGAACCAGTCTCAACTGTCTCTGATGTATCTTCCCCCATTATCTCAGTTACTGTGTCAATCCATCTCATCTGGGGTCTTCCTCTTCTACACTCTCCCTACATCCTTCCAAGATGATGTTTTTCTCCAAGAACTGGTTCCTCTTGGCCACATGCCCAAAATATGTGAGACAGAGCCTCAAATTCCTTGCCTCAGGAAGAAGTCTGGTTTCATTCTTTCTAAGATAATTCTGGTTTGTTTGGTTTTTGTTTTTTTTTCTCTTGGCAGTCCATGGTATGTTCAATACTCAAGCTAATTATCAAAGTCTCTGACATTACAACCACATATAAGACAGCTCTTATCTCACACTTGAGCACAGAAATGTGGCCTACCTGCGGTCTATGCCTGTGGTCCTGAATGCTTAGCCTTGTTAAAAAAAAGAATGAGTAAGTCCTCACCTCCACAATTCTCTTTGCCAACAGATATTGATTTTGCCACCCGCAAGATCGCCCAACATCTAACCCAGACAAAGATCATTGAGCAAGATGGTGATATCTTTAAGACCAAAACCAACAGCACATTCCGCAACTACGAAGTGAATTTCACAGTCGGAGAGGAGTTTGATGAGCACACAAAGGGCCTCGACAACCGTCAAGTGAAGGTACTGAGTCACGCTGGCGCTTTCTCTTGTGTATTCTTTGTTCAGGGACAACTGTTTGACTCCACAATGAGAGACAATGACAGAAGCAGACTGCAAAAGGTCAGACAAGGGGGACGAGAGTGGGTTCAATGAAGCGGTAACAAGCAATTATTGAGAGTTTAGTAAAGAAGGGGTTGACTGGTTTTTGTGCTAAACCTGTAAGTAAAAAAGGAATGAAAGGATCTGGAGTCTTTTAGGATGTAAGGCCAACAAGGGGCAAAACCGACTACCACCACTAGCATTCAATCCTGCGTTCCTTCAACAATCCTGAGTAACATGTGTTACTGAGCTGGGTCTGTGCTGGGTATGTGGATGTAGAATAGACAGCTGACCTAGGCTCTTTGTTGATGGCTCTTTCAGTTCATTGGGGGAGCCAGACATTAATTCAAGCAACAAGTGTGCAGTGGTCACGATGTATAAGACAAAGGCAGACAGTGTGGGGTAGAGGGAATAGAAGGTGAACTCCTTGCCTCCCAAGCTTTCCTGTCTATTTGGGAACTCGGAGGGTAAGATTGATCCTGGGTAACAACAAGGGAACATTCCAGACAACCCCCTCCCAGAAGAGCAAGACTATTCTTTGAATTGAACTTCTTACCCAAAGTGATAAGGTTTAGGATGACTTTGGAAAAGGAACTTATTTATTTTTCCTTTAGAAAATATGTGGTATTTTATTTTAAAGTTAATTTGGGGCACGGAAATACGTGCATTCACATCTGTCTGTCGGTTTTTCATCCTGAGGCAGCGTGCATTTTGGCACAATGCAGGAAACTGCCACCGGTATTTCAAACTCTGGACTTCAGATATTTTTTTTAATTAGGATTAACTGCACATAATGGTTCTGGGAGTTTTTTTGTTATGTTTGGGTGTCTTGTCACTAGTAATATACCACATGTTACGATATACTATAATATTGTTGTGGTTGGTATGTGCCATCAAGTTGCTTGCGACTCAGTGACCCCTGTGGTCAAAAGCTCTGAATCTCTGAACCTGCTCTAGCTTGTGCCAATCTTATTGTCTCTGACACACTTACCCGCAATATTCTAGTCACTGAATCAATCCATCTCATCAAGGGTCTTTCTCTCTTGCCCTGTCCCTCCACCCTTCTAAGCATGATGTCCCTCTCCAAGGACTGCTCCCTGCTAATATAATATGTGGATTATAATACACCACAAAATACAATAACTAGTAATGTACTACATACAATATAAAGTGTAATTTGTTGCATTACTACTTTCAGATGGTTCAAGATTGAATCTGATAATAAAAGGGAATAATACTAAAAAAGGAAAGCATATAAAACCGTTATTGTAGAATGAGTATAAGGATCCAGGAGGGATGGGAGAGGCTGGAAGCAGAGGGATGTGGATGTGCATGGGGTAGGGGGGATTTATCATTGGGTTGTACAACTTGATGGAGGGGGTGAGAGAAATTGAAAGAATTTGTCCAAATTTTATTTTGTAAATAAACTAGTGGAAGAAAAAATGGAAAAAAAAGAGAGAGACTCTCAATATTTGTGAGAATTGGCTTAGGACAGAGTGATCATAATGGTGTCCCACTGTAAGTTAGGGACCCATGGAGGACACATTTCAGCAGCACTTTTACATTAAAATAAATTAGACTGACAGGCCTGGTGATTTATTTCTGAAAATGAGTCCATATAAACCCTGTGAATTGGTATTCAGCATATGGTGCCGGAAGCTGATGCCCCAGGTTGGAAGTCAAAGATAAACGTAAGCATGCCAGTGACCATGGGGACAGTGTGGGACCTTTCCATCCTCCTCTGTATGTGTCACCATGTGCCACAGCTGAGTCAAGGGTGGTTAACAATAGCAGTGATGTACCCAAATGGTTAAATAAATTAAAACAGTAAGTAGTGAAGTTGACCACCCTCAGCCCCTCAGTTCCCTCTCTGGGGACCAGCACTGTTAGGGGTTTCTCTACCTCCTTGCAGAGAGCACGTCAAAACACACACAAGTAACTGTCCTCACCCTGTGTGTCAGGCCCCTGATGCTGTTTCAACGCCAGCAAGCCCGACAGACGGAGCTTCTGCACCACCTCCCTCCCATGGCTGCTGTGAGACGCCGTGTTTAATCAGTCGCCCTCTGACAGAATTGATGAGGCTTCCAGTCTGTAGCAAACAGTGTCGTCATACACTGGGGAGTAAAATGAGTAGGAATAAAACCATACATAAAATATATAATATGGTCAAGGTCAAATATTATTTTAGAAATAGGTGGATTTGACAATCTGTGAGAAACAGGTAACAAAACACAAACAAAAATAATCCCAAGCAAATCTCAAAGCTCAATGACAGTTTAAAACAATAAAAACCAAAAAAAATACATAAGCTTGTTTACCACTAAGTGGGTTTACAAGGTCTGGAGGGAGGTGTCTGGTCTGTAGCATAGTAGTGTCCACAGGAGTGGACATGGTATACACAGCTGGGGAAGAAATTATACCAGCACCAGAGTCAGACTCGAGGAATGAGGGCACAGAGGGAATCCCGTCTCCTGGACGTGGGTGACCTTGCCCTCTCAGGAGGTAGCTGGGCAAATGCAGCTTGGTGTAGAGATGGATAACCCTGCAGGACCCTGGTGAGCCAGACAGAAAAGGACCTAACCACTTCTCCTCAAGTCAACCACCAGCCGCAACACAGAATGTTGCCCCCTGGGGTAGGAAGCCCTTGTGTGTCACAGAACGATGCCCCCTGGGGTAGGAAGCTCCTGTGTGTCACAGAACGATGCCCCCTGGGGTCTGCAGTGTTGGCTTTTGATGGTTAATCATCAGGACACTCTTTTGAGACACCTTATGCTGGACTCAAACTTCTAACCTTTTTGCTAGCAGCTGTTGGCCTCCTCCAGAGCCTCCTAGCTGGTCATGGAGCCACTGCCATCGAATTGATTCTTACTCATAACGATCCCACATGATGCAAAACTACCTTCTAGGGGTTTCTTGGCTACACAATTGACAGAAGCAGCTCTGATGGCATTTGTGCTGAATTGCTAAACGAAAAGTCTGTGGTTCAAATCTACTGATCATTTCTCTGGAGAAAGATCTCCCATAAGTACCTACAGCCTTGGAAACCCAGTGGAGGATTACTACAAGACAGAAATAGGTCAAAGGCAGTGGTGGGTAATCTTCACAGAAGTAAATCACCCCGCATTTCTTCTACAGGCCTGCTGGGTACATTCAAATACTTAGGTTAGTTATGATCAATGGTCATCAAGTCAGAACCGACTCACAACTGAACCCCCAGGAGGCTTTCAGAGGCTGTAAAGTACAAAGGAGGCAATGGCCCATCTTTCTGTGTGGTTTTTTTTTTTTTTTTTGGTTGTTGGTGTTTTTTTAATAATATTTTTATTTTATACTAGTTTGCTTACAAAGTTTGTATACATTGGATTTTTAAAAAAAATTTCATTATTTTGTGTGTGAGTACCGTCAAATCGGATCTGACCGGTATAGGAGGAGATTGCCCCTCCTTCTCCAACAGAGCATCTCGTGGGTTGGAACTGTGAGCCTCTGGGATTGCAGTGCAGCTTCTTGCCACTAGGCCACCGGAATTTTTATAAAACTTTATTTGGTGCTGGTTTACATACAAAGTTCATAAAGTTCATATACATTGTTTTTCACACTAAACCCTTTCCCTTTCCTTTACCAATCCCTCCCTCCACCCATCAGAATGTGCGGCCCTATATTTAAGGTCCCCAACCTCCGTGGATCCTCACACACGCTGTACAATAGGCACATCTTTCTCTTGAAGACCAGCAGGTAGATTCAAACTGCCCACTTTGGGGTTGGCAACACAATTCCCTACTCACTAAACCATTCAAACTCTCCTTAGACAAGTAATGGGAGGGGTTAAAAGCGAGGCTCAAGGTAAGAGCGGCTGTGGGCGTGGCATAATGTATAAATGCCCACACGTGGACGTGAGTGCTCATGGCGTTCAGTGGGCACGTGGCTTCTCCGTCCTCCCAGCCAGCTCATTATGGCTGTGCATTGCCAACTAAATTCTGCTGCTGCTTCCCTTGTGCTGCTATTCGCTGGCACCGCTGCCTGGACGAAGCCAGAGACCAGGAGAAGGCTCATTCCCTGTGCTGGGGAGAAGGCAGGGGCCTGAGCATCTGGGCCGCCTCCTGTGTGCATCGGAACTCCCTACCTTTGCTAACGTCCTGCAGCGGGTGGTCCTTGCAATGACCATCCTATAAGACAAATGTCTGAGAACAGACGTTCTAAGTCAAAGAGAATATACAATTTTATACACTGGCAGTGACAATAGAATTTTCCTTTAAAGTGTTAGACTAAGTTATACACTTACTAGCCCTGTATGAGAGCGCTGGCTTCCCTGTGCTCTCCAACCCAGCACTTCCCCAAACCTTTCCGTCTTTAATCAGGTGATGAACTGAATCTTAAAAATGAAACACTCTTCATTTGCATTTCCCATCTGGCTGACAGCATTATCTATATTTCTATGTTGAAGAGTTCTCTGTGGTATTTTTGGGGATTGTGTTTTGGTTTCCCCCACACACAAGCTATTGGCTCACATCTTTTGTTGATTCTGTGAATTGGGTCAATGATGGTTTTGTTACTGATTTACAGGGAGCTGTTAGTTTGGTGCAAAGGAAGTTACACCACTGACCAAAAGGCAGTGTGTCTCCAGGAGTTCAAATCCACCGGCAGCAACTAGAGACAAAGACAGACAGGCTCCTCCAGTGACGATTTACACCCTCAGAAACCTAAGGGAGGGGCAGTACAATGAGTCAGAATCAACATGAGGCTGTGAGGTGGTTCTTCTTCCCCCTGTTTTTTAAAGGGATTTTATCTAGAAAGTAGTCAGGATTGTGTCTGATTGGTGCTAAAAAAAAAGTGAAACATAAAGTCAGACAAAAACTTTACTGTCAAGTCAGTTCTAACATATGGTGATTCTCCTTCAAGGTCTCTTTAAAGGTCTTCAAGGCTTCCAAGGTTTACAGGAGACTGCTCATGTTGCTTTGAGGAGAAGCTCGTAGATTCAGACCACTTAGCCTTTAATTTTAGTTCACAGTTCAATGTGGAAAGTTCTCCATCACCAAAGCACCTTCTGATGGGTCTTATTTCCCAGGTAGCTATTTCACTTTGTGGTATTTTTGTCCCTCTGGAAATGTTACATCGCTATATAGTCAAGTTTATCACCTCATCAGCACCTCACTCCCTGTCTCTTCCCTTCCTATATGATATGATGGCGGAATAAACTCCTTAAAAGAGCGTGAGATTAAGAAGTCAACATTAGAAGCCAAACAAGTGACAATAAACCAGTTTGGCTGGACGTGCAAGTAGAAATGAGATTAGAAAGATCCTGCCTTGGCCCAAGCTGAGTGCTCTGCCCTGTGGACCCACAAGGGTCAGGAATTGTAGCCACAAGTTTGGCCTTGTTTGCCAGCGCAAACTATTCATTAGATTTGCCTGTGAATCTGTCACTACAGACCCTAGTGACCTGGGATGGAAATGTCCTCGTGTGTGTGCAGAAGGGGGAGAAGAAGAACCGTGGCTGGAAGCAGTGGATTGAGGGGGACAAGCTGCACCTGGTAAGTTGGCTCCCACCCCCATCTCCCCACTCACTGTGCTCAGACAGACTGCTATGCTCACCCAGCCAGGAAAGAAATATGACCTCGCTCTCATTATCTGAACTCCTGCCAAATGTATGTGGTCATATAGTCAGAAAGCCGTTCTCATTTGGCTCAGGGGGACTCCAGGAAGAAATCTCCGTGGTTGTTTGTGAGAATGACTACAATTAAACAGAGACTGCAAAAATGCTGAGTTAGGAAGCTGAGATCCATAAAGAGAGGCAGGTGACCCGTTAAAGACCAGCTGGGGAGGAATCTGAGCCCAGATCTTAGATGCCTCAGAGGAGGGCGCGGCCAGGCCTCCTCACAGGTGCCGGAGCTGGAAGGGAGGGCGGGGTCAGCTGAGTCTGGGAATGGCCTACAAATCACAGGCATTAGTATCATATTATAAAGTACATCTTCGTGACCTCAAAATATTTTAGGTTAATTAGGTCTTAAAACACAGCAAGAAGTAGGAATATCCTGCTAATATCCTTAAATAAATGGCATCTGGCTAGACAGCTTACTTTTTCTTTCTTCAGTCGTCAGGACAGATTTTCAACCCAGCATTTCAATACTGAAGTCGTCAGTTCTCTCACACATGCAGGTGTGCATTCAGTCAGTGGGCAGCTCCTGCACATGTGGCTTTTCTTTCATTCGTTCATCTGAGGAGTCAGACTCCAGGGTCAGGATTAAGGTCACCGTGGTGCCCTGCAGAGCCAGCCCGCCCCACCTGAGGTCTTGATTGCTGAGGGCAATGCCAACTGGTGATAAGTGTGAGGCTTTCATCACGGTTTTCCGTGGACAGCATTCCCTACCGCCTCTGGTTGGGATGATGGATTGTTTTAATTGCAGTACAAGCCCTCATGGTCCTAGAGGCTCAGGCAGTGGATTCACTGTCAATGTCAATGTCAATGAGCATGGTGGTCCTTCTCACACTGTTTTTGTCTCCTCCATCAAAGGGTCTTTAAGGGGCAGATAAGATGGGTGGTTCTTTCCATGTGAATAAGACTCAGCATGTCTCTCCCCACAGGCAGGTCCAGGAGACTCCCCTGTAGCTCATACTCTGTCCCTGTGGCACAGCCCCCAACAATCCTCGAAGGCCAGAAAACCCACAGGGTGGAGGACAGCTCATCAGCCAGCCCCCTTCCCAATCCTCGACCTCGGACACTTCCCCCACCAGACCCTCCTTTCATAAACTAGGTTGTTGTGCTTTAATTGTGGGAGGAGGTAAAATCCCACCTGAGGTGGTAATTCATTTGCATTGTTTATGCTTCCAGTGGTTCAAGCTTAATTTAAGAGTGAAAATCTAGTTGTGGCTACTTGCAAGGTGTGTCAGCTGACAGGTGCCAGCTGGGAGATGCACTTAGCTCAGAAAATTAAGTGTCCTTGGACTCAGCCACCCCTACCAGCCACTCAGACACCACGGGGCAGAGGGCTGGGCAGAAGGAAGGCCCTGTGTGCTGTCTACTCACACCCTCCCCGTTGCAGGAGCTGACCTGTGAAGACCAAGTGTGTCACCAAGTGTTCAAGAAGAAGTAAAGTTACACAGAAGCCAGCTGAGCCCTCAGAGTTCCCTGTGGGCATCAGGAAGGGACGTGGGACGCTTCCATCCAAGCAAGACTCCTTCTGAGTATCTGGAAGAACTTTTCACCAAGACATAGTCTTCCTTCTTTTAATAAATAAAAACCAAAACCCACTTCCAGTCTTTGTTGCCTTTTATGCCTGTTATCCTGTACCGTCAGGTCCTCAGGTCCTGATACCAGGTAGTACAGTCCTCTAAAGTTTTCTCTGAGCTAATCTGGCCGCCTAGTGGTAAGAAGCTGCTTTGCAATTCCGAAGATGTGGTTCGAATCCACCAGCTGCTGCACAGGAGCAAGATGAGAACGCTCCTCTCATGCGATTAAGTGTCTGAAAACCCATTGGAGGGTCAGATATGGATCATTTCTGACTCGGCAGTGTCCAACAACATCTTTACTGGAGGGAACTCTGCTGGTCTAGTGGCAAGGAACTCTGCTGCCAACCCAAAGGTGCGTGGTTCAAATCCACCAGCTGCTCTGTGGCGATACAGGGATAATCTTCTGTGAGGTTTGCTGTTTGTTGTCGTTTTGTGCTATCGAGTTGCCTGCAACTCATAGGATTCTATGTACAACAGCTCTGAACTCTGCTCTGTTAAGAGGTAATTTCACTGTCTCCAACGTACCTAACCCCATTACCCCAGTCACTGAATCAATCCATCTCATCCAGTGTCTTCTCCTGCACTGTCCCTGCACCCTTTCAAAAGTGATGCCTTTCTTAAGGAACTGCTCCCTCCCGGCCACATGCACAGAGTATGTGAGACAGAGCTTCAGAATTCTTGCTTTCAAGGAGCAGTCTGATTTCACTCTCTCCGGGACAGACCTGCCTTTTCTGTTGGGAGTCCATAAGTATACTTGGCAGTATGTTCCATACTCTTCTCCAGCACCACGACTCAAAGACATCAAGTCTTCTTCTGTCATCCTTAGTCAATGTCCAGCTCTCTGATGCAGAGCTAATATTTGCAAAGACCATCCTCTGAATCAGGCATACCTTAGACTGACATCATTGCTCTTCCGTATTTTTGAGAGGTCTCTGACAATAGCTTTCTTCAAAGAAATTCATATTTTCAGTTATTTTTTAATCATTGACAACTTTATTATGCATATTTCTCCCTATACTTTCCTCCAGTGACATTATATTTCATATAGTTGTTTCTATACATTGTGTTTCATAAAATGAATCACCATTGGACTATTGCTGGCGCCAAGAGTGTTGATTGTGGAGACAGCAGCTGAAATTGTTAACAACCTCAACCTCTCCTCCATACCTCATGGTGCTGTCAGTTGGCCCAGTGGTGAGAATCTCTGTCCTTTTGATGTAGAGCTTCAATCCATATTGAAGAGTACAGTCCTTGACATCCTGCAACAAAGCTTCAGGTCCTACTCAGGTTCTGTGAGCAAGGCTGTGTCATCTGCAAAATGCAGGTTGTTGATGAGGCTTCCTCCAATCCTGATGCCACATTCCTCCTCATGAAGTCTAGCCTCCTGCCTCTGAAAGCCCATTGGAGGCCCAACTAACTCTAAGTTAGCTTGACTCTGTGGACAACAACAACAACAACAATCTTTACAGGCGATACTGGCAGTTCTTACTCCTGCAGAACCACGAGGTAGATTCAGACTGTTGTTGTTGTTATGTGCCGTTGAGTCACTTGCGACTCATAGCAACCCTATCTACAACAGCCCTAAACTCCGCTCTGTCCTGTGCCAATCGCACTGTCTCTGACACTCCCATCCCAATTACCCCAGTCACTGAATCAATCCACCTCATAGAGGGCCTTCCTCTCCTGCGCCGTCCCTCCACCCTCCCAAGCATGATGTCCCTCTCCAAGGACCGGTCTCTCCTCACTACATGTCCGAAGTAAGTTAGATGGAGCCTCAGAATCCTTGCCTCCAAGGAGCCACCCGGTTTAACCCTCTCCAGGACAAATCTGTTTGTTTTCCTAGCAGTCCATGGTATATTCAATACTCTTCTCCAGCACCACAGCTCAAAGGCATCAATTCTCCTTCTATCCTCCTTGGTCATTGTCCAACTCTCTGATGCATAACAAGTGATTGCAAAGACCATGGCCTGTACCAGACGCACCTTAGTCTCCAGAGAGACACCATTGCTCTTCAGTACTTTGGAGAGGTCCCTAACAGCAGACTTTCCCATGGCAATGCGCCTTTTAATTTCCCGGCTGCTGGTGCCAAGACTGTTGACTGTGGAGCCAAGCAAGCTAAAGCTGTGTACCATCTCAATCTCTTCACCATCCATCCTGATGCTGCCAATTGGTCCAGTGGTGAGAATCTTTGTCTTCTTGACATTGAGCCTCAATCCATATTGTAGGCTGAAGTCCTTGACACTCTGCAGCAGGCGCTTCAGGTCCTCTTCAGTTTCAGCAAGCAGGGTTGTGTCATCCGCATAACGCAGATTGTTGATAAATCGTCCACCAATCTTGACTATCACCTCTTATTCCTTTCTCCACCAAGACTCTCTCCTTTATGCTTCTCTGACTTTATTTCTCAAACTGGATTTCAGTTCCACTCTGGCAGAGGAGGTGATTGCCTGCCCTGTTGTCTCTTATGGGACTTTCGTGGTGTTTACTTGTTTTGATCTGATTTTATTTTGTCTGTGTGTTAGTTTGTTGTTGCTGTTGTATACCATTGAGTTGAAACTGACCCATAGCTGACCCTCGAGCGGGTTTTCAGAAGCAGTTAATTGCATGAGAGGAGATTGCCCATCCTTCTCCCACAGAGCAGCTGGTAGATTTGAACCAAGTGCCTTCGGGATTGCTGTGTAGCTTCTTACCACTAGGCCACCAGAGTTTAGGAAGCTATTTTACCTATTGCTACAATTCATTCTACTACTATTAATATCAGACTAACTACTAGAGCTCTGATGGCTTAGTGGTAAGGTGCTACACTGCCAGCCCAAAGGCACACAGTTCGAATCCCCCAGCTGCTCCACCTGAGAAAGATGGGGAATCTCTTCCTATTAGATTTACTGTCTCTGAAAACCTGCTGGAGTGTCAGCTATGAGTCAGTTCTAACTAAATAGTACATAACAACAACAACAACAACAATGACATGTTACTGAAAAGCAGAAGCCAACAATGCCCCAAATGTTTATTCTTCTGTACCTCTCCCTCATTCCCGACATTCGCTGTTCCTCCTCCACTCAGTTCTCCCACTCCTGTCTATGTCTTTTGGGTTGTGTGGTTCAATAGAAGGTCTCACAGCAACTTGAATCCTGTTAGGGAAATGTCTCTCATGACTGAGTGGTGCAGACCAGCGCTGCGGAGACGGTGGGCGACGCACCAGGATCATGCAGACTGTCAAGCAGAGCTGGATTCTGTGTCCCGGGAGCACGAGGGTCCCGAGAGAGAGAGTGAGCACTGAGCTCCCATGAACTTACATTAGAGTCTAGTAGGGAAGTAGGAGTGGCATCCACTTCCTAAACAACAGGCTTCTGGAAACTGTGAACTTTGATAAATGTCGAGAGTTGTAGAGGGGCTTTAGGCCTTTTGTTCATAGGGTCGCTATGAGTCGTGCTCAGCTGGAAGTCAACCAACAACAACAACAAGAGTAGGGTAGAGGTTTTATCTCATCCTAATCCTATCTCCTTAAAACATTCAATACTTCATCAAAAAATAGACCTCTAGCCTATTGATAAGAAACTGTACTGCAATCTCAAAGGCACATGGTTTTAGTCCACCAGCTGCTCTGTGGAAGAAGGATGAGCAATGTCTTCATGTGCAATTAACTGCCTCTGAAAATCCTTGGAGGGGCAGTTACGGGTGGGTTCCGACTCACTAGTACTCAACAAAAATAACAACCCTTATCTCTGTAAATGTTCATTAAAATCAATAAAATAAAATTTAAAAAAATTTTAAAAAAATAACAACCCTTGGTACCAGCAGGTAGGAAATCAGGAGATGTATTGCCCTGGAAAAGTCTGCAGTCAGGAACCTCTCCAGATTATCGAGAAGTAATGATGTCAATTTGAGGCCTAAGGTCTGTCTGATTCAGACCATGGTCTTTCCAATCATTTGGAATGCATCTGAGCATTGGACAGTGATAGGGATGACAGAAGAAGAATTGATGCCTTGAGCTATGGTCTTGGAGAAGACCACTGAATATCCCCTGGATGGCCAAAAGAACAAATATGTCTTAGAGAAAGTTCAGCCGGAGTGCCCCTTGGAGGCAGATGATAAAGCTTCATCTCACATACTTCGAGCATGTTGCTAGGAGAGGCTGTTCCTTGGAAAGGGATATCATACTTGGAAAGGCAAAGTGTTAGCAAAGGAGAGAAAGACTATCCACTATGTGGATTTACAGAGTAACTGCGGCAATGGGCTCTACTGTGTCAGGAAGTGTGAAGATGGACAAGATAGGACAGGGTTCCAATCTATTACTTATAGGTAGGCTACGAGTTGTACTTGACTCAACAGCACCTAACAACAACGACAACAACAGTAAGAGTAAAGTAGAGCTTGTATCTCACCCTAATCCTATGTCCTTCATGCATTAAATACTTCATTACACTGCAGTCTCCAATATGGATTGAAGTTCAGCATCAAGAAGACAAAGCTTCTCATCACTGGGCCAATTGACAGCATCATGATAGATGGAGAAGGGATTGAGGCTGTTAACAATCTCAACTTGTTTGGCTCCACTATCAACATTCTTGTCACTAGCACTCAGGAAATCAAAAGACGATTGACATTGAGAAAATCTGCTGTTAGGGACCTCTCCAGAGTGCTAAAGAGCAAGGGTGTCTGTCTGGACACTAAGGTGTGCTTGATGCAGGCCATGGTCTTCACAACTACTTGTTTACAATTACTTGTTATGCCTCAGAGAGCTGGACAATGACCAAAGAAGACAGAAAAAAGAATCAATGCCTTTGAGGAGTTGTGATGTTTGAATATAACAGAGACTACGAAGAGCATGAACAGGTCGGTCTTGGAGAAATTGAAACCAAGTTAC